TCGCAATGACTCACTTAACAGTGACTTGCTGCCACCAACTGGCGGTTTTAATTTCACATTTAAAGTATCTTTTCATTTTTTAAATAATTTCAAATATCAGTATTCAACATTTCATGTTTTAAATATCAAAACATTATTTATGCATTTGTAACTGCAGTTTAAAGCATTCCATGTCCCTCTAAGCTGCATTAACATGTGTAAATACATCTAAATGCCACTTCATATGCAACTTATGCAAATATGAATTTTATCGATACTGATTTAATTTGTTTAGTAACAGCCTAAATGTATTATTATTATAATTGACTGATTAAATGTAAGAATTTGACTCAAAAGATGATGTACACTTTTAGAAAAAAAAAAAAGGCTTTATAAAGGTAAAAATGCCCATAAAAGGTAAAAATTTATTTAAACTTATTGGAAAAGATTCATGTCTATCACTGCTGTGAACTGACCACAGAATATGAAGAATATAAAAAACTTTAGGAGTCAGCTGTCCACGGTAGTCCTTAAGATATCTGCACAATAACACACTCAGCACAATGTCGACTAATTATCTTTATCAATAAAATCCCAGAAAATATTGAGATATTATTTTTTGTCAATATCGCACACCCCTAGTACTGATACAAAATTATTTGCAATGGTCGCTTTGTCACGCCCAGTGTAGACAGCCTCAAACTGTTGGTTTATTTCTGTCTTTTTTATTTTTGTTTGATTGTATTTATTTTTTATTTTTTGGCTAGTAGAAGTTATGAATGGCCGGTAACTTAAAAATTTAGTAGCCAAATTGGCTGGTGAGTGAAAAAGTTAATTTCAATCCCTGTTTATGATGTAAAACTGACATCTTAGAGACGTCTGTCAGATGTTTGTACACAGCAGATGCTTTCCAGATCTTTAACAGACCTCTCGCAGACGCACCTGTGCTATCTGGGCACATTTACGTGGGCTTCACGTAAGTTCCACCCATTTACTCTGCAGTGAGCAGCTTCTCAGTATAGTTTCACATAGTCAGACCATTCTGTTTTTGCTTCAAATTTTGAAAAAATACGATCTAATTTAGATTAAAAACTGCTCGTGTTGCATGTATGCAGCATCTTTGCTTGGATTGTGATTAAAATGCAGTGGTTGCCTCTAATTTTAAATAGAGAGAGCACAGACAAAGCCTTAGCTTGAGATTTCAGAGAGATTTTTTTGTCTGAGAAATAATAAAAGGACATTTTTTCATTTATAATTTGTCTTAAGTCTCATTTTGTTCCAAAAATCACGAGAAAATCGTATCGTGAAACAAGTATCGTGAATCATATCGCATCGCGAGTTGAGTGAATTGTTACATCCCTAATCCTATCTCTAACATTGTCTTTTCCAAACTGGAATTTCAGTCTGCCGTGGTACAACTGAGCAGACATCATAAGGTCCACAGATCGGATTGCAAATACGCTTCAGCTTTAGGCAAAGGAAGCAAAACTCCACCTTGCAGCGCTTACACATAAGGTTTTTACAAGCGAACCCACTGTGTTCTAAAAGCAGACCGCAGGTTGGGCAGGCACGAATGGCAGGACACTCTACATTGTTCACATAAGACAGCCTCATATTTGTACATTTTGCTAGCTTGTCAACATCTGGGTGGACACAGTCGTCATAACTGCAGCGTAGAGAATGAGCAGCTGGTCCTTTCCATTCCCTCAGACACTGCCAGCAGAACTGGAAGCTCTTCTTTTTCACAGCTGTGCAGATGGTGCATTTCACACACAGGTTGCTCAGGTCTTCTCGCTCAACATAGGACTCACAGCTTGGACACTTAGAGAGAGACATACCAGAAAGTTCATTAGCTGTCAATGAATCCACACGATCCAGAAGACAAAAATGTTATTTCTACTCACTGATTTGAACTCGCAGTACTCCGCTGCTGCCAGAAGAGCCATATTCTCTTCAAAATGAGCCTGCTCTGAATCACTAAGCACTGCCAGTTTCCTGACCTCCAAGTATGGCCACTCTGCGCTGCATTTTTCTGTCCCATGTGTGATAGCTGGACAGTAAAATTTATACTGACCCTGTTAGAAAGAAAAGAATAAAACCAAAATGTTTACAGTAGGGACGTACTGAACAGGTTTTTTTGTGAACCCGATCCAATCAGAGTCACTTGTATATTCATAGTGTTTGGTGCACAATTCAAGTACATTAAAGTTATTAAAATCAATCCAATGTAGTTGAGCAGAGAGTAAATGTAATATATATGTATATGTGTGTGTGTGTACACTATATAAAGACATTTGTTGATGTAAACACGTTACAGTGGTAGAAATTGTAAACAGATTGTGTGATCACAATAATGAACCCTGACAGCACACGTACATCACAGAGACGTCTATTTGACGTCTGCATTACATCAACAAGACGTATTTTTTAGAGTGTTTGCTCATCTGCTATACATCTACAGGACGCTTCCTATCAGATGTCAAGTAGACGTTTAGAAGATGTTTATGATGTAAACCTGACATCTTAGAGATGTCTGTCAGATGTTTGTACACAGCAGATGCTTTCCAGATCTTTACCAGACGTCTCGCAGACGCACCTGTGCTATCTGGGAATATGGAACTACTGATGTAAACTTACTGTATTTTATATGTACAATTAGCAGAATAATTGCAAAATGATTAGAAAAAGGTGGAGGTAAGGTTAGAAAGCATGAAGCTTGCTCTGTCAGTCTCTCAGTCAAATCCGAAGCAAGACGCAACGAGTTATAACAACAACGTCTCAGATAGATCACTACAAAAGCTTCCTATCAGATGTCAAGTAGACGTTTAGAAGATGTTTATGATGTAAACCTGACATCTTAGAGATGTCTGTCAGATGTTTGTACACAGCAGATGCTTTCCAGATCTTTACCAGACGTCTCGCAGACGCACCTGTGCTATCTGGGAATATGGAACTACTGATGTAAACTTACTGTATTTTATATGTACAATTAACAGAATAATTGCAAAATGATTAGAAAAAGGTGGAGGTAAGGTTAGAAAGCATGAAGCTTGCTCTGTCAGTCTCAGTCAAATCCGAAGCAAGACGCAACGAGTTATAACAACAACGTCTCAGATAGATCACTACAAAAGTGCGCATCAAATACATTGAACACGGAAGCTCAAACGTGTGTGAGGCGCTAGAACAGACCTCACTGGTTCACGCATCACACACACATTTCTTCTTTTTTTGGTTTTAATAGCGGCTGAATACTTTGAGCGTCTTCTTTTCCTTTAAATGACGGCAAATCTACTGGAAGGAGAGTACTGCACGACACCGGCATGACAGCTGACATAAAATAAGGATCGGGCTTAGGAGAGCCGATACCGATCAGTTAAAAAATGCTTGATTGGCCCCGATCCCGATCCTTGAGATCGGCTCAGGACATCCCTAATTTACAGATACTATGGATGTTCATTTCGGTTATTTTTCCTAACTGACAACCGACGCTCGTTAACCGATTATTAACCGTTAACCGACAAGGTTATTTTAAATTAGAATTTAATTAAATTAGAAAGGATAAGTGTCTGTGACCCGTTAAAAATGCTAACATTTGTTTTGCGGGGATTAATTTTACACATGCAAGAAGTAGCAGACAACAGTATGAGGATTCATATGGTCATATCATTTCACATGCACCTGCAGCGCTTCTGCGAGCGGAGAAAAACATTATATATATATATATACAGTATATTAAACGAATGAACAGGCCTATACGAGAAACTGTGCAACAAGTAGCCTAGTATGCAGAGTTTCGGTTCATTGTTGTGCTGCGCGAAAGTTAAATGAATGTTTATTGCATTATTTCAGTTTCATGTGTGTCACCGTGATGGTGTTTAGCGTTTGTGTGAATGACACTGTGCACCTTCTATATATGTTATTATTTAAAAGCTGCTTGTGATGGGCTTTGGTTCATCGTGTGACTTTCTCATCACCTCCTGCTTTTGGTGCAGTGTTTACAAAGCTACAAAATAGATTTCAGTACTTCAATAGGGTTGGTATATTAACATTATTTCAGTTAATGAAATTACGGTATTTAACTGTAAATTTAAGTTAAAACCGTAAAACCTAAAACGTTGCTACCGTATTTTTTTACGATAAAATTCCGGCAACCACAGCTGCCGTTTTTTTACCGTAAATTTTACTGAATTTTTTTTACAGTGTACGAAAGCGTACAAGTGAGGTCGCACGAACTGGCTGCGTTGGTTTCATTGTATTAGAAGTGTAGTAACCGTTTTTTGGCGTATTTATCTGTATAACTACAGTTTTGCTACAAATAAAACTGTGGTTAGTGAGGCAAAACCATGGTTAATTTGTGGTTGCCATGGTTTAACTATAGTAACCATGTTTTTTTTTTATTTTTTTATTTTTTATTTGTAGTAAAATAATGGTAATTTTCGTAAGGTAAACGAGCTGATTTGGGAACAGGTGTTACTCCGGGTTAAGATGGTCTTAACCCTAGGGTGTGCTTTTGAGTCCTTATTGAGAGTCTGGGCTTTACACTTTCAGTTCTGAAGAGGTCGGGTGGCATAAGGTGCATGTTTCTGAGACATCGCTTCGGGGAACATACTAAACGGTATTTTTTAGTAGCATGGGTGTGTATTCTCTGTCAGCAAACAATAAGCAGTTAAATAACCCGTCCTCTACTGAGGATTTTGTCCCTCCTTGATGCCAAGAGAACATTTTCGTGAAAGTGAAAGCTAAATGTCTTCATTGGAAATGCTTTCACTTAGCTGCATTTTTGCTTTCGTTTATCTAACAAAAGATGTTTTGGACTGAGGACATTCCATGCGAGGGAGGAATGAAGCAGATACTTTAAACATTAGCTGACGGGTGTGTTAGTTAATTACTGAAACTATTGTATTTCTAAGTTACAGGTCCAGCGGTAGTTTCGATTTGCAGATCGAGGATCTGTTGATACTGGTGAGTTACATGAAACATACTGACGAAACCTTATTGAAATGTCTACTCTGTTTTTAGTATAGTTGTTTCTTTCCGTGCTGTGTGTGAGGTAAGTGTTCTTTAAGCGTTTTTCTCGATGGTAACTAAAGTCATCTAAAACGAAGTTGCACTTTGCGGTGAACATTATCAATGCCCGATAACAGATTCTTATGTTGTTTATTAGCTATTTTAAGGGCTCTCAACTATTATGTCATTCCACTGAAAATAAGTCACATGTGGCTTCTCATAAAGTTCATATTGACGCTTTATCTTTATAGATCTTATGCATATGCTGGCTTTCGTTGGCTGTTTTGTAAACTCGGCAACCTTCTCCAGCACAGTCCTTAGATTCAGGTAACAAAAAATATATATAAATATTTCACTATACATTACACTATACTACACAATTAAATTTATATTGATTTATTTATATATATATATTCGTGCCTGATGGTAGCTGATTTAATAGTTGTTCATTATTGCTTTCTGTAGAAACACCACATGTTGAAAGAAAGTGATTTTATTCCTTATTCTGTAGATGAAATGAAGACCAAAGTAGATACAGCTGTGCTAAAGCAGTAAGTGTCTAATATAATTCACTAGACACATCTAAAACACGACTAGAGTAAACTGCTATGCTGATTGTTTACTGATGGTCAATGCAGTAGAATCTTACAGTGTATACCTTCAAATATTTGAAGATCTCTCAACCTGGACTCTGTTGTTAAAAAACTGAAGAGATGTTCCTCATGGCCACTTCTTAGACAAAGGTAAGGCCATATTGATGCAGTTATTCATCTTCTTAGACATATATATATATATGCAGTGTTGGGGGTAACGCACTACAAGTAATGCGAGTTGCGTAATCAGATTACTTTTTTCAAGTAACTAGTAAAGTAACGCATTACTTTTTAATTTACAAGAGAATATCTGAGTTACTTTTTCAAATAAGTAACGCAAGTTACTTTTTTTCTCCAGTTTATTGATTGACAGCTCTGGTGTTGCCATGGTGACAGAAATCAGAAGATGTTACTGTAGTTCTAAAATAAATATGAATATGCATTAATTCATCTCACTCACAAAAAAAAACACAGATTCAGTATTCCTCAAAATGAATAAAAATAATGCAACTCAGAATATGACGCAAACCTGCAATAATTAAATGTTAAACAACACAAATATCCTTTATGTATTTAATCCCATTCTATTAACCAATGTCTTTGCTTCTGACCTTCAATGATCCAGTTGAACCATACTAATAAGCAAAAATTACTCTAGACAAACATTTGTGTGTCTTTTTTTTATTGCTGACGTGTGTTGAAATTTCTTCTTCTGCATTCTACTGTACGGACGTTTCCTCCTTGATGCCAAGAGAACATTTTCGTGAAAGTGAAAGCTAAATGTCTTCATTGGAAATGCTTTCACTTAGCTGCATTTTTGCTTTCGTTTATCTAACAAAAGATGTTTTGGACTGAGGACATTCCATGCGAGGGAGGAATGAAGCAGATACTTTAAACATTAGCTGACGGGTGTGTTAGTTAATTACTGAAACTATTGTATTTCTAAGTTACAGGTCCAGCGGTAGTTTCGATTTGCAGATCGAGGATCTGTTGATACTGGTGAGTTACATGAAACATACTGACGAAACCTTATTGAAATGTCTACTCTGTTTTTAGTATAGTTGTTTCTTTCCGTGCTGTGTGTGAGGTAAGTGTTCTTTAAGCGTTTTTCTCGATGGTAACTAAAGTCATCTAAAACGAAGTTGCACTTTGCGGTGAACATTATCAATGCCCGATAACAGATTCTTATGTTGTTTATTAGCTATTTTAAGGGCTCTCAACTATTATGTCATTCCACTGAAAATAAGTCACATGTGGCTTCTCATAAAGTTCATATTGACGCTTTATCTTTATAGATCTTATGCATATGCTGGCTTTCGTTGGCTGTTTTGTAAACTCGGCAACCTTCTCCAGCACAGTCCTTAGATTCAGGTAACAAAAAATATATATAAATATTTCACTATACATTACACTATACTACACAATTAAATTTATATTGATTTATTTATATATATATATTCGTGCCTGATGGTAGCTGATTTAATAGTTGTTCATTATTGCTTTCTGTAGAAACACCACTGGTATGTTGAAAGTGATTTTATTCCTTATTCTGTAGATGAAATGAAGACCAAAGTAGATACAGCTGTGCTAAAGCAGTAAGTGTCTAATATAATTCACTAGACACATCTAAAACACGACTAGAGTAAACTGCTATGCTGATTGTTTACTGATGGTCAATGCAGTAGAATCTTACAGTGTATACCTTCAAATATTTGAAGATCTCTCAACCTGGACTCTGTTGTTAAAAAACTGAAGAGATGTTCCTCATGGCCACTTCTTAGACAAAGGTAAGGCCATATTGATGCAGTTATTCATCTTCTTAGACATATATATATATATGCAGTGTTGGGGGTAACGCACTACAAGTAATGCGAGTTGCGTAATCAGATTACTTTTTTCAAGTAACTAGTAAAGTAACGCATTACTTTTTAATTTACAAGAGAATATCTGAGTTACTTTTTCAAATAAGTAACGCAAGTTACTTTTTTTCTCCAGTTTATTGATTGACAGCTCTGGTGTTGCCATGGTGACAGAAATCAGAAGATGTTACTGTAGTTCTAAAATAAATATGAATATGCATTAATTCATCTCACTCACACAAAAAAAAACACAGATTCAGTATTCCTCAAAATGAATAAAAATAATGCAACTCAGAATATGACGCAAACCTGCAATAATTAAATGTTAAACAACACAAATATCCTTTATGTATTTAATCCCATTCTATTAACCAATGTCTTTGCTTCTGACCTTCGATGATCCAGCTCAACCATACTAATAAGCAAAAATTACTCTAGACAAACATTTGTGTGTCTTTTTTTTATTGCTGACGTGTGTTGAAATTTCTTCTTCTGCATTCTACTGTACGGACGTAAATTTACTGTACTGTTTACAGCCTGAGGCTTATTCATTTCACTTTTGGTGTGAAAAGGCTTATATATTTGCCAAAAATATAACTTTTTTATTTTAAAAACAAACAAGCAAGCCTTCCTCCTTGATGCCAAGAGAACATTTTCGTGAAAGTGAAAGCTAAATGTCTTCATTGGAAATGCTTTCACTTAGCTGCATTTTTGCTTTCGTTTATCTAACAAAAGATGTTTTGGACTGAGGACATTCCATGCGAGGGAGGAATGAAGCAGATACTTTAAACATTAGCTGACGGGTGTGTTAGTTAATTACTGAAACTATTGTATTTCTAAGTTACAGGTCCAGCGGTAGTTTCGATTTGCAGATCGAGGATCTGTTGATACTGGTGAGTTACATGAAACATACTGACGAAACCTTATTGAAATGTCTACTCTGTTTTTAGTATAGTTGTTTCTTTCCGTGCTGTGTGTGAGGTAAGTGTTCTTTAAGCGTTTTTCTCGATGGTAACTAAAGTCATCTAAAACGAAGTTGCACTTTGCGGTGAACATTATCAATGCCCGATAACAGATTCTTATGTTGTTTATTAGCTATTTTAAGGGCTCTCAACTATTATGTCATTCCACTGAAAATAAGTCACATGTGGCTTCTCATAAAGTTCATATTGACGCTTTATCTTTATAGATCTTATGCATATGCTGGCTTTCGTTGGCTGTTTTGTAAACTCGGCAACCTTCTCCAGCACAGTCCTTAGATTCAGGTAACAAAAAATATATATAAATATTTCACTATACATTACACTATACTACACAATTAAATTTATATTGATTTATTTATATATATATATTCGTGCCTGATGGTAGCTGATTTAATAGTTGTTCATTATTGCTTTCTGTAGAAACACCACTGGTATGTTGATATTCCTTATATTCCTTATTCTGTAGATGAAATGAAGACCAAAGTAGATACAGCTGTGCTAAAGCAGTAAATAATTCACTTAATTCACTAGACACATCTAAAACACGACTAGAGTAAACTGCTATATGTTCCGATTTATGCTCTGGAAATGTATGCAAATTAGTGCATATTTAATTAGATACTGTCTCATTTGCATATTTCAACATGACATTTTAGAAAACTTGTAATACAAAACAGTTGTCTTAATGTACGGTGATTAATCAACTGGGAAACTATGGTCATATATTAGTTACAAGTAACGCGAGTTACGTAATCAGATTACTTTTTTTCAAGTAACTAGTAAAGTAACGCATTACTTTTTAATTTACAAGATCATATCTGAGTTACTTTTTCAAATAAGTAACGCAAGTTACTTTTTTTCTCCAGTTTATTGATTGACAGCTCTGGTGTTGCCATGGTGACAGAAATCAGAAGATGTTACTGTAGTTCTAAAATAAATATGAATATGCATTAATTCATCTCACTCACAAAAAACAACAAAACACAGATTCAGTATTCCTCAAAATTAATAAAAATAATGCATCTCAGAATATGACGCAAACCTGCAATAATTAAATGTTAAACAACACAAATATGCTTTATGTATTTAATCCCATTCTATTAGCTTCTGACCTTTGATGATCCAGTTCAACCGCACTAATAAGCACAAATTACTCTAGACGAACATCTGTGTGTCTTTGTTTATTGCTGAAGTGTTGAAATGTCTTCTTCTGCGTTCTACTGTACGGACGTAAATGTACTTTCCCTTCAGCCTGAGGCTTATTCATTTCACTTTTGGTGTGAAAAGGCTTTTATATTTGCCAGAAATATAACTTTTTTATTTTAAAAACAAACAAGCAAGCCCTGTCCAGATTTAAAAAGTAGCGTAAATGCATTACTTTCCATAAAAAAGTAACTAAGTAACGTAAGTAGTTACTTTTTTATGGAGTAACGCAACATTGTAACGCATTACTTTTAAAAGTAACTTTCCCCAACACTGGTTATGTGTGTGTGTTAGATTATGTATATGTTTCCAGATGTAATTGTGTGTTACATTAATATATATAATGATTTCTCCTGCATCTAATAACAGCAGTTTTGCCCAAACACCCAGCACTGAGTCAACTGCTCTGCAGTCTTTAGCTTCAGGTACACACTTCCACAGGATAATCGGGTTTAATTGTTACTACAGTTGCATGTGAATATTGTGTATAGTCTTTTTTTTCTTTTTGCAAAACATATTAGATTCGGTTTTACAATAATTCAATCCAAATGTGGTACTGAGAGGTCAGGTTTGAACTGGAGTTTACTGCTGAAAGTTGTGTCTCTCTGCAGGCAATTCAGATGCAGTAAATCAGTTGGCAAATGACACTGAAAAGATGAAAATAAAGGATCTAGTCGACAGATCATCAGTCTCTCACAGGCTGACAGCAAACCAAGATCCTTGTGAGTTGAGATACTTTCTCAAAACATCCGAGAGAAAAAAAGGTCATTTAAATATGAAATTAAACCCTTAAATAGTGTGCTTTATGCATAACATGACAGTGCAAAGGAATTATAGTACAATGAGTCAAAACCGATGCTTCTATCGATTAGAGGCCATGAATTAGATTTAGCAAATATATCATGAATTTGTTTTAAGCATCTGCCTCCTCTCTTTAGGTCCATACAGAGGTTTGCTCAATCTAGGTGCAACCTGCTATCTGAATGCAGCCTTGCAGGTGCTCTTCATGACCCAAGCGTTCAGAGAGAGAGTGCTGCTGCTGTCGGTTTCGTCTTCTTGTCTTTTTCATTTGTCTGAACTCTTAGTGTCTAAAATGAAAAATCGTGCTGAAATGAAAAACAGTTGTTGTCTATTCTCTTAGCACTCCTGGTGACACAAGTGAGAAATTAGAGTCAGCATTAAAGGAACTATTTAAAGAGCTCAGCAATCAGGTCGGGGGTGCTCAGAGCGTCTCAACGGAAGGAATAATCAAGGCTCTCGGTATACAGAGAAGTACGTTTATGATGGGCGCAATTTAATGAAATCCTTCATTGTAACTGCACTGTTTGTGTGTATGAAGTGTGTTGTGTTTTCACTTTAATTTCAGTATATGAGCAGCAGGATGCTGTGGAATACTTCCTAGATATCCTAGAGAAAGTAGGCCCAGATTTGGCTGAGGTAGCTTATTTCTTTTCAATATGTAACAATGCAGAAAAATAACAGAACGTTTGCTTGTTAAACAGTGAAGACGGTCCTGTGCAGGGTGTGCTCTGTGACTCTTTTAACTGAAACAGGTCTTTAGAGGAACTATGAGGAACAACAGAAGATGTGCAGAAAATCACGAGTCTCATGATGACAGCTCGTTCAAGTCACTACAGATCGCTCTGAACAGCATGGACGGACCGTACAGACTAGTAAGACTAAATTCAGTGAGCTTCTGTATTCATGATTATGTATGGAAGCCCATTTCCGCCACCGCATAAATAATAAATCGAGGTAATTGCGACGTTTTTTCTCACAATTTGCATTTGCGATTTACGCCCAATGCCCAATGTTGACGCTTGTGAGTTAATTTCTCACAATTCTGAATTTATATCTCACAATTGTGTGTTGTGAAGTCAAAACCGCCAGATATAATTCTGATAAAAAAAGGTCAGAATTGCATGAAAACAGTTGCAATTAGCTTGTTTTATTTTTTTACTCAGTGGCGGAAACGGGCTTCCATAATCATGTGCCAAACAGAGGCTTGTGTGCAGGTCATCATAAACTGTTTGATTTTGATTTCAGGAAGATGGGGTTCAATCATATTTTGCGTCTACAACATTAGATGGAGATGACCAGATGTACTGTGAAGCCTGCGATGAGAAAAGTGATACAACATGGGTAAAATTCATTTTTGCTGCTGTCGGTGTACGTTTAAAAGCCCAATTTTTCCAAAGCTGGTATAGTGCTCAAAGTAGCGCATTCTATTCAGTTATATTTGTGTGGCGCTTTTCACAATGCAAGTTCTTCCAAAGCAGCTTGTGCTGTTTCTTATGTTCTGTTTCTTTTCCGCCTCCTACAGGACATTTAAGGTACTACACTTTATTTTGCCATTTACTTTCGGTTTCTCTCAGGGAACGCAGTCAAGAAGAACGTGCATGCAGTTCCTATGGGTTATTGATTCCATCGTTTAAATCTTGGAAATATATGTCTGTAAGTGCTACATTTTATTAAAGTAAAGTGTAGATCGGGATTATTCTTATATTTTGTTATAAACAGACATGATTCGCGTTATTGGTACCATACTTTGTTTTAGCGTACTGCTAATTTCTCTTCTGTTTGTACATAATCTCATTTGAATATGATTTCTTGACATGTACATTACTTTAAATAACGTTAAAAAAGGAACTATGTACAAAATCGAACTGTAATGTTAAGCTGGATGTGTATGTAAATGTGAACATAATGTTCATACATATTTTTTCTTGTTTGTAGTTTTACAATAAAAGAATTGAGAAGAACAATCACCAGTAAAGTCACTAAAGTTATGAAGACTGCTTTCTGGAGTTCTTTTCGGAAAGTGTACGCTATCTGTTAAGCCTTTGCTCAAGCTACGCAATTGGTCAGAACAGAATACAGCTTTACAGGTTTGTATTGCTGTTTTACACAGGGTTGTGAAATACACGAGTATCCAACAATACTGCCTTTGCACCTGAAAAGGTTTGTGTACGACTATTGGTCATGTGGGTTTGTGAAGAATGATTGCCCCATGGATGTACCGCTTCATTTATCTCTCGGGGTATGTAACCACCCTAAACACCACACGATAGACCCTTTTATTTGGCTATGATAGGATGAAGTTATATCAAGCTTGACCAACACATAAAAAGTATTAGAGAATACAGCCAAATGTAAGTTTGAACATCCGTGAATCTCAGTCTTTAGTGTTGAAACCCTGCTTGATGTTGTTTCAGGAGCAGGAATATTGTCTCTATGCCGTGATCAACCACAGGGGGAGCCGTTACGGGGGTCACTACACTGCTGACATCCGATCTTTCACAGAGAGCAAGTGGTACTCTTTTGATGACAGTCATGTCACAGAGGTAATGTGTTATTATTATATATTTAAGACTTAAATTATAAATACCACTGGTGCTTTATATCACTCAGCTGTGCTCTTGTGATTTCCTTCAGATCGATGAGCGCAAACTGGAAAGGTAAGAGCCAGTAATGTCAAATGACTCTTAATCAACTATGAATGAATGCATAAAATATCACATAATTAACTTACAAAGTAACTGCAGTTTTTAATCTTTTAATGTAGGTCTAGGGAAGCTTACTTGCTCTTGTACCGGAAACGTGAGTACATTCACAATCGTGCATTTAATCGGAGATTCTCTTGTGTTGAACAAAGGCTGGTACACTGACAGTAAAACATGCTATTGCATATGCATTGTATTTTATTAGGGCCCTGCAAGTACAAAGGACCACATTGTTCTTTTATGGATTGTTTATTTTTTTGTTTGTTTTAAAATTTTAACATGCTCAAAAACTTAAAATTTGCACGCACATCAGAGTGCAAATGGTGCATATATCACACATGCATGCACATAAATGTGTGAAACTTGGCACATATGTTGTTTTCACTAAGTCAAACAAGTTTCACGCTGACAGTCATTAGCTCACCCAACAGGAAGCCAGCTATTAAGGGTTTTTTAAATAGTGCATGCATTTCAAATACTCCTACTGAAGAGATTCTTCTGATTGTCACTGAATTTAGTGTAGTTGTCCAAAGACACGGTTTTCTCCACAGTCGACAGTCCTCCAGTTTCTCAGATGAGGAAGGAAACCCAGAATTCTCACAGCACTCTGACGGATCCCAGAACTGAAGAACTGCTGCAGAGGAGCACAGCGCCATGTGAGTCCTTCTACATTTACCCAAACCACTTCAGGCTTGGTCAGAATCATGTCAACGCATGATGTTTTGTGCTGGACTTTTATGTTGTATGGTGTTCCTGTTTCCTGTTCACATTACAGTGTGGCTGATGAGGCCCTTGGCATGC